TTTTTTTTCCGACTCATGATTATTTTACTATACTCCTGATCTAGAGAACTAGATATATTACAAAATATATAATACTACTATTTTCATATCTTATGTACTAGATTGGAACTTAGTAAAATGTTTATAAGCTTAAAAAGAAAATAGCAAGAAAACAAAATTGTAACAAGTTTTGAATATTCTCCGTTCGTTCTACATAACAAATTACACCAACATATAGGTGAAATTCCCACATGTTTTATTAACATAATTGAAGAAGAGATTGTTATGAAAATACAAAAACGAAACGTCTTTTATCCTAATGAATATTATATGCAATGACAGCCCAAACATCACTCTTTTAGATGCTGAAAATTATACATCTATATAATGTACCTAGAAAAAAGTATTCAATAAATGGCTAGATGCTTTTTATTTTGAAATGGACAAGAGAATCATAACCGATACTGTTCGCTTTAATTGGTCATCTTAGATCATTTACAACTCATCTCTTGTACCTGGGCACTCATCTGAGTGCTCAAAACTTTCGCGTAACTTATGTGTTGATTAGGAATATTTCTATCGACGACATTGAAAACTAAAGACAATCAGATACTTTTACGTACATTTGATTCTCATATGTATTCTACACTTATATTCTTTCATAAAAACTGGCGTAAATTCATCGGATTACGCCTAGTGAACCAAAGTAAAGGTGAATGTATGAAATACTCATTCTCAGTTATTACTTTACCATTGGTATAAAACACTGATGTTGGTATAGTAGTTGTTAGAGTAACGCTCGTCGTATTTGTTGCTATAAACAAAGATAGTTTCTTAACAATATAGAAAACGAAAGACATATTTAACATACCAGCAATTGTAGTTGTTGCTGTTGTTGTATCTAAAACAAATAGAATTTTGTTTATTTTAAGTATTTAATTTATCGAAAATAAGAATCAGTTGCATGAGAATCTAGTTTGAATGGAATCTTTTTCAAGAATTTTAGTCCGATGAATAAGATCGCTAATCATAATATATCCTTATACTTACTACAGCCGTTTGATAATAAAAGAAATTTTTGAACTCTATTATTATTGTAATCAGTGACGAATATATTTCCATAACTGTCAAAACTAATAGTTTGTGGATTCTGGAATTGACTAGCAGATGAACCAGGTGATCCAGAACATGCCGCTATACACCGAAAACCGTTTGGTCCTGAACCAATAATACGATGGTTGCTATTGTCACTAATAAAAATATATCCATCACTATCGAGCATAACTGAAGTTGGATGGGAGAGTGTGATGGCACCTGTTGATATTGTTGCTCCATTCAATTGTCCTGATGCAAATTTTTGAACCCGACCGTTTTCAAAATCAGCCACATATAAGTTCAAGTGATTATCGACAAAGATTCCCATGGGACCATTAAGTGTATTCGACGTTGACCCAGCTGTATTACTTACACCGGCGACATTACTCCATACATTTAAATTTTGGGTCAATGATTTGTAGACAACCTGATGATAATAATACATTGAGCAGTAAAGCATATTGTTAATATCCACAAAAATACCATAGCATAGTGAACATATATACATTGCTGGAACACTATTTGTCCTATTCCATGCCCATTTGTCAACTCGATAATCTGAATAGGCATTACCGACATAAAGATCACCATTGTCCGTAACGAAGAGACCATAAGGTGTGTTTAAACCACTTGAAATATTTCCAGTAAGTGTAGTACTTCCGTTAAGCCATATCAAAATTCTGCCATCTGTATAATCAGCTACATAGACACTATTGTTTCTATCGACAAAAATACCTTCGGGATGTGTGCCGACTAAGGTGCTCGTAGCAAAAGTTATAGCTGTCTGATTCCATGTTGCATTTGCACAAAGTTTTGGTTGATTGTACGAAATACCTGTGAAAAATCATAGAACTATGAAATACAATTTGGATAATAATGATCATCATAAACTCAGAATCTTACACTTAGAATCTAACTATTAAATTTAGAGCGACGTTTGCCGATTTTTTGTCAACAGATACTTTAGTGATTCCGTCGGCCGGATTCTTTTGGTTGAAACTCGAAAGAAAACTCTAGGAATGAGCATATTATATTTGGTTTGATCATATATAGAAAACACTAATTTCTCGATATGATCATTTCTCGTTTAGAAAATAAGTCGAAGATTCTTATAAAGATTATAATGATGTGCCCAGACATATCTTTTTCTAATGAAAGATAACTACACGAAATTGATCGAGTTCTTACCCGATATTTGCCGAACAATCGACAGAAACAACCAAATATTGAGATAGCCAAACAATATCATGTTGAGTATCTAAAATATAATTCAGTTTTATATTAATGAATAGTGGTATTGAATAAAAAATTAGGTTGTACAAAACAGTTCATTATATGACTGTAAACGGATAAAATCAGATATCTTCACAACATTTAGTAAGTTTTCTTTCGCAAAGTGTTCTTCATCTCACATAGACTTAGTCATGTATACTCCGTCTTCTAATATTTTTATAAAAAACATTTTTACAGCGCTCCTATATGCCTCTGAAATATGATATTATGCAATGCAAACAAGTATAAAATAAAAATGTCTGACTACCAAGCTTCATTGAAGTTAATCTTGCCTTGCTCCTTATGTTCACGAAAATAAGATAGGATTTTTCTTAAAATTCTGTTCATTGTCTTCTCTTCTAATGACAAGAAGCATACAAAGTAAAAACTACTCTATGTCAAATTTCTTTATTTCTTTATTGTGAGATCACATCGCAGTATACAATGTGTAAACGACTATAGTATGACGTAGTGTATGGCACCAAGTAGTTCCGTATACCTAAAAATAATTACACGATTTGTTAGTGGAATATAAATTTAAGGATTGTATTTATACGCTAGATAATATGAATAGAAAATGATTTGTATATTTAAAAGGATTGGGACTTGTCACTGTATTCCCATAAACACCTTGTACCTCCTCGCTTCTTGTCATTCTTCAAAGAATATAAAAACTAATATTTCTGATGTCTGGTCTGACCGAAGGTCTGAATTCTTTTTATTTTAATACAACTTCTATGATGCATAAAGCGAATATAATTTTTTTAGAAGCTATACTATTCGTATAGGGTTGCTTGATCGATCAATAGTATTATACGAGTACTATGATTCGTCGAGCAATTCTTTTTTTTATATATCAGAGATACTGACTAAGAAAAAATAGAATTGGAT